ACAATGCACAGAAGATGAGAGGAGTATTTGTCTTTGGAAGTACCTTTTATTTTAGTGTTAAGTGTATTAGCACATTCAAGGCCTTTCTTTTGTGAAAGAGATCATTGCTAAACTTCACATGCTTTTAGGTTGCATCTATGTCAGACTACACTACTGCATTAATGCCAAGCCATAACTCTGTTAGGACTTTAAACATACCTTCATTTTACATGTGTGCTTTTTGTCCAGGGCAAGCTTAATACAACCCCTCCAACAGAAGGGGTTGTAAAGCAGCACAAGTGTCAAAACATCCCTAAACACTTAACCTGAGCTCTGCCCTGCCAATCTGCCTCTTACAGAGAGTTAAAGTGAAAGATCAATTATAGACAATTACAATTATGCCAGTTAGAGGCATAATTTCAGATGTTTCAGGGGTAAGCACACTGGTTGCCGGTACCGATTCAAGAAGACTGATCACCTCTAAAACTGGCTGACCTGGTAGCTAGAAGGTCTTACAAGCAGAGCAAGGTAGGTCAACTCACATTAACACCTACTGAAAGAAAAGGAAAAAAGTTGTCATAGATGTGCTGTTTTAATGCAAGTGTTGAAATAGTTCTGAATAGCTGAAGGAATCAAATCAGAGACATCAAGCCTGGGTCTGTATTAAAGGCCACAAAGGATTCAGTTCCAGAACACACACTGAGGGAGAAAAAATATGCAGCACACTACCACAACCAAACAAAGCCTACATATGATTTCTGAGGAAGTTCTGAAGACAGACTTCAGATCAAACACCTACTGTTAAGAGAAGCGATACCTGATGTTTCTGATTCAAGGACTTGATTATAACTGCACATGCAATTAATTCTGAGTATTTTAAGGAAGTACTGCCCTTTATTTTTGTCAGCAGCAGTTTGTACTAGCTGGCACTTTAAATGGACACCCATTTTCTGATCACTAGTTACTGAATCTTAGTTGATAGTAACACTTAGTTCTGCAGAGGTAACAGAATCCAAATCCAACTTGCAAGAACACATCCAACTAGTTTAAGTTGTCCATGAATGCCTCCAAAAATAACACATTATAGGTGCAATACAGATACATTATTGTCAGCTACTATAAAATGGCACAGATAAAATGATTCACTGGAATCTCCTAATGAACTGCTCATTTTTAATCAAAACTGTCCAGGCACTGGCATATATCAATAATAAAAAAGATTTAAAGGTTAAAAATAGTGTACAGTTTAGCACAGAAGGCAACATTTGAATAGAAGCACATGATTTTAATTTGCTTTCAAGTTTAAAGCAGTCCAAACAAAAAAGTTAACTATATAAATACAGAGTAAATGCACATAGTTTACAGCCAACTACATGTATGCAAGAATAATAGCAAACCTCACATAAGCATTGAAGTATTCTCAAACTGTCATTTGTGAGTGTTTAGCTATGACTCTGAGGGCATAATCATGTTCACATATGCAGGGTAGGCAGACTCTCTTAAATAGAAGAACTGAAAGCTTACATAACTGAGTCTTAACAGAGTTGAAAAAAGTAGTACATTTACCTAGGCACACTTCATTGTTCAGCTTTTTTCCCCCGAATTTAAACAGTTTAAACAGGAAGCAACATTTATAAAGGCTCTCCAATCTTTTGTCTCTTGAAGCATTCTATTAAAATCCTACAGTCTGAGGAATGTTACAAGTGTCATACGAACAAAAACAGAATAGTAGAAATTGTCATTAACAAACATCTCAATCAGAAAGGAAGTATATGGAGTGCATTATGTAAACAGGGAACTAGATAGGTGCAATGTCAATATAAAAGTGGACAGGTTGATGTTTCAGTTACAATTAACATAACCAAGAAACTCCATGAATCCCTAGTGTAAACCTACTTAAAACAACACAGGCTAGCAGATCAGAAATTCAGACAGAAACAGCAGATCTACATCAGTCAGTCTGAAGGCTGGACTCAGCCCTCTGCAACACACAACTCGCCTGTTTTCACATGGCACTACAGGGGCCAAATGGGTACTAGAAGGGCTGTGAAATGTGACTGCATTCACTGAAATCTACGTTTTTATGGCTTTCCAAACTTGGGCCACCCTTGCCACGTTCCCCCAATATGCCACAGACACTGAGTGACAACCAGCACACTGTAACACACCGAGCTAGCCAGGCCCTGGCAGAGGAGCCCCTTTTCCCTCTGATGAATGCATGCTCCAGTGCCATCTTTTGACTGGTTCAGGAAACTGCAGTCTCACAGTGTTTCCCAAATCTAACTGGTTACCAAGTCAAATTTAATAGCCGAGAGTTTTTCAGACATCCAAGACCTTTGCCTCTAGCACAGAAAAGTGTGACATTCAAATATAAATCAAGATGACCATCTAAGTTACAGGAAACTTTAAATGCACTCCTTTGTTTTGTAGTTAAGGGTATTACTCAATGTAGCATCTTCTTATTCCCTTTGTTTTTATAATAATATCAAGAAAACTATATAAATAATTTAAAGATCTTTGGGAAATATTTCAGAGGTAACTTTGTATGTACTGGTAGTTTAACAAAAAGTCCCAAGAAACTCTGGGTTTATGTTTTGTTATGTAAAGCAAGCCAAAAAGATCACCCCTGAAGTTTAAAACATTACTTAAACACCCATTAAAAAGGTTGAATAAGCTGATTGTCTATTTTTAGCTGTTGTCTCCCATATTCAATTGTCCTTGTTAACATTTTCTACTTAGCAACTCTAGGGGGTCTGTTCTCACCCAGACAAGGCACACACATGGTACCTAGTGAATTAACAGGAGATGACCACGTAACCAAGGGAGCATGTAGCCAATAAACAGAGGAGAGTAACTCTCACGAAGCCTAGACTAATCCAAATGTTAATTCTACCCAGGAACTCCAAAGCTGGATATTGTCTTTGCCAATTTAAGTTTTGGCTATGACTGAATAATCTGAATAGCCTGACGAGTAATCCACTTTCTACAGAACAAAAATTACAGTAAGTAGCTATTCCTGCGCTTAGCTGAGTTATCTGAACAATGGCATCACAGCAAGACTTTGGTCAGAAGTCATGAGTACTCCAGACTTTTGCTAGATAGATCACTAGAAAAAGCCCACATTTAAGCACTCCCCTCACTTCTTTAAAACAATCAAGTTCACTTTCAGTCACACCACAGACCATGCTATCTGTCTTTAAAAAGGTAAGATAACATTTTCCAAGGAGAAGGAAGTCAATACAGCTAAGCCTCCACTGTAAGACTGCTGTACATACTATAGGTGGCTTTTAGAAGAAGGATCAATTAGTACAAAGAATTACATGAAATACGTAAATACTTTGACACTGTGTGGAGAACATGACAAGGGTCAAAATAAAGGAGAGCAAACGAGAAAAACCCAGACTGACTGTTCTGTAAGCTTTGAGCTTTCACATACAGCCTACAGAACTACTGCAACAGAGATGCTATGGATCTACAGCATAAAATGTTTTATCCTGCACAGCTTACACAGAAATCAAACCACATGCTTTGTTTAAAACCAAACTGCATGTTTTGAACACAGTTTGACTATAGATAACCAGTAAGAGGAAGAAAAGTCACAAGCCATAAGAAGGCCACAAAGTGCATAAGAAGTCATTCATAAAATAAAGCCATCGCACACAATGCACAGTTTAAGTGTACTGAAGTACCACACTGGAAGAGTTGAGAGGACAGGTCTGTCTGCACCAGTGTAACAGCATTTGTATGTAGAAAGCTATTGCCCCCAATTTATAATGAACATCTTCCTCATAAGGATCATGGATGCAGACCGAAAACTACTCAAGGTACAGATAAAACGTATCTGTTTGGAAAGCTGTACAAGTTTTGTAACATTAAGCTTCTGGTTTTGACACTCCAGCTGTATGGTTTTGGAAAACCCTGTAAATTACAACAGAATAAACTAGCTAAGCCTCACTGCTGAATGCAATGCATTGTTTTGCAATTGGCTTATAGGACAACAATGCCTGAATATTCAGACAATTTGGAGGACAAGGTTATACCATCAGCTACAGTTCAGTACACAGGCTCAAGTTGGAAGAAGTGATACAACAATTATCAAGGGGAATGCTTACACAAAAATCTGTCACAATATTCTCATCGTTCTGCACAGAGGCTATCTGCACTGAAAAGATCTATCACAACTTCAACTGTTTTCTGCTTTCTGGTTGCCTTAGCCATGGTAATGTGTTCTCCCCCTGTACTCCCATATAGATACTGGTAATCCAAGTCAGGATTTGCCAGACATTTTAGGGTAATACAGCTTGTTCTTAGGCAGCATGAAACTATTTGAGTAGATCCTGTCTTCACAAATGGTAGGCTGGATTAGTTGAGGTTTCTCATCACATTATGAATCCTTAAAAAGGCCATGAAGTAGCATTCAGCAAGTTCTTCCTTAGCTGTGTGAGCTAGCTGACAGGTTGGCAAGGAAAACATGATCTAGGAGAACATTTCATAGGTTTCTCTTACTTAAGTTCCAGAAAAGGAAAAGGATGATGCAGCAGAACTAGAAATCCACATACACCAATATTAACAGATTGATAACCTGAGGAGTTCAACAATCAGATCTTCTCTCACTAACCTACAACACTGCTCAAGCTTCAGAAAAAAAAAAACACAACACACCCAAGTATCACCTTTCGTAGTGAAGAAATAACTCTGTTCTGAGTCCCTGCACCGTATTTTGTCTTGAGGTAGCAACATGGAAAACTACACACTGACTACTACCTCAGTCTCTTTATGAGTCTTCAGAGCAACTGAATGGAAGTTTCAGGTATGGAAAGGTATGAAAGTACTGTCTTCCCCATTCTTCCAACAGGTTACTGTGCAGTAAAACAGAACTAAGAGGATGTAGTTGAGAGCATTCACTAAGACAAGTGAATACGGCTGCCCAAGAATGTATTTTATGCCCCCTCCCTCACCCATCAGGTCTCTGAAGATGACTGAATGGCCTTGTCTAGATTAACAGATGAAAAGATAGTAACAGTTTTGAATTAAGAGATGTATAAAGACATTCCCATTTGTCACATTGTTAAGAGACCATACAATAAGGCAGCAAAATTATTCATAGTTGCCCACAATCAACCTTCTGTTTTGTCCATAGCTGCACACTCCTGATATAACCTTCCTTCTGCCCACCACATTGGCATTGACATTCAGTGGTCCGCTCCAGTCTTCCACCTTCTTCTAGGAAGCCGTCACGCTGCTATCCATCGAGTAAGTAGACTACCACTTCGTAGGTTGACATCATGATAGCCGTGTTAGGAATCTGTCTGATCAGATGTGTAGTTAAACCTCGGTAGAGGGATCCATACCCTTCTTCTCGCACAAGCAAAGATAGTGTCTGGAAGAAAGATCTGTACTTTGTTCCCTCTTCTCTTAGTCTTGTTCGTACAACCTCTGTACAAAGAAAACCACATGTGGTTACATTCACCACTTTTCAGACAGAGAAGCAAATCAGGTATGTGTAAGAGGAAAACAAGTTACATTTCTGGCAGTGTTAGATATCTAACTAAGCAAGGAAAGTTCATTTGCTTAGTTAAAATCCAGAAGAGGACTATTGTTTGAGCTTACATTTTAGCTTGGAAGTTATCACTAATAAAGCACTCAATCCATTAACAAACTTAATGTATACACAACTACTTTGCAGGAAAATTAAGTGCAACTGAAACTAGACAGCCTCTTTTCCTAGAAGGGGGGCAAGAAGTCATTGGCAAGTTATATGAAATTGCTGAGTATATAGAGAGATTCCAAATGAAAAAGGACCTTCTCCTTAAGTACTTTGGGCCATAACCTGGCAAATCCTTTGGAAAAAACAAACATTGCCTAAGAAGAGGCAACGCTAGATATCCACTTAAAACCACTTCCATTTCTGAATACTATACTCATGTCGACTCACTGAATCTGATTTGAAAAGCTTTAGACAAAGAAATAGTTCTTGAGCAAGTGAGCCAAAGTCTGCTACAAATATCACTGAAGAGACTCCTTTTGATCAATTTGATTCAGGCTCTCAGCTGTACTTGCCCCACTTACCATGGGGATATGCTATTGATGTTGCACAAGTTTTGGAAGTAGCAGCAGCCATCATCATTCCAACAAAGTCTGAAGCTTCTTTTGCCGATTCATCCTCATTGTCCATAGCAGAAGCAGTCTTATACTCCAGCAGTTTTCTCTTAATACTCTCATAAATAACAAAGTGAATAACAGTCTCAGATATGCCTGCATAGGATGCTGACATTCCTCTGTAAAAGCCTTTAATACCATCTGATTGATAAACTTTTCGGACACATTCAAAAGCACTCATTCGCTTTTCTCCACGATTCCTAAAGAAGAGAGAACAAGGCAGACATCAAACTTATGCAACTTGAGACTGGCAAATAATTAAACAGTTTTGCTTGAGAGACCAGAGGACTTAGGAAACATCTCACACCAATGCTGAGGGGCTGCAATTCACAGAACTGAAAGTCTAAAGAACTGTAGTGAAAGTCTCAAAGGCCCTCAACACTAAACACAGGTAAAGCATTACACTGAATCCAAGCCAAACTTCATATGGTCACTAAAGAAAAATCACATAGACAAGTTGAACAGCTCTAGGCCTCCCCAAGTCTTACAGAATAAGGGACTGAATTGCTTGAAAACAGACTCCCAAATAAACTGTCAGTGACTCATGAAAAAAATGACCATTTTCTTCTGCATAATGAGAGGGGATTCCCCCTAATTTTTTGTGTCAAATAAACACTGCCATAGCATGGTAATTACAGTGGCTTAGACTTCAAACAGCAGGCCTCACAGCATCACAGCTATCAGTAACCGACTAGCATATCCAAAAGGAGCATGCCAACCAATATAACACAGGTAGGTATTACTTGGTTCAACTAAGCCACTGCTCATATGAAGGAAAATCCTCAGTAGACATGACTGTATCAAGAAATATTGGTAAATAAAATCTTATTCCCATTTTTACCTTGCTTACTGAATTGTGTATGTTAAAATACTTATCATACTGTACACAGCTATATAAAGCCATTACAGCACTGCATACAATATGCTTCACTGCAGCAGCAAGTGCAGGCACTTGAAGCATATGGATTCTGCCAGCAGAGGTCTCCTGAGTGAGCAAGCCACAGAATAAAACAGCAAATAACCTTTTAAGAAGTTACAGTAACTCATATGGATACTGTCAAAGCAAGACAGGCAGTGGCAGCAGCTATTACACAAGTAGAATGAGGCATCACTAGATGGCAGAGTATAAGTCTCGATGGTTTGAACCGGCAACGTCAGACAGCAATGAAACAAGGTACCAAGCACAATTAAGAGAAAGCCTGGGCACACATAGCTGCAAATCAGATCTCGAGTAAGCTAGGTGGCAGATACTGCAGAGGACTGGAGGGCTGGCGCTGTTTTGCTGACATGCAAGAGAAAAGACTCGAACAACTGGTGAGAAGAGCAGCTGGACCTACAGCTGCAGCTCCAGGGGCCCCCCAGTCTCTGTATGTCCCTGGCACACCTGGACAGGTGCACCGACAGAGACTGCTGTAGGAGTTTGTTCATGCACAACACTGTCTTGAAGGTCAAAGCAATTTCACTTTGGAAACCAAACACATGCCTTCTCCAGCTCTTACTGGGAGGAATTTTTGAGAAGAACTTCAACAGAAACAAGATTAGGCCAAGATAATCCCACAGGCCAAGTGTTTGTATGCCTCTAATAACAACTGAATTAGAAGAGCTGAGAAGACAGTACGTGCTAGACTAGCCCACATAATTGCAGCGTCCTACACAAAGTTAGAAGATCCTTCGCCAGGTCTCCCGCATCAACAATGTGCTTGATATAATGTACAGAAGTAATGTGCAAAAGAAACCCATAATTTTCCCCTCATTTCCTTAAAGCCCTATAGCTTAAGCAATTTAACTGATTAATCAGTAAAAACCAAGCAGAGGCACAAGATGCCATCAGGTTGCACACAGCACCAAAAACCCCCTGGAATTAGTCATGGAATTATCACCCCAATCATGCAATGGCATCACAAAAAAAAATCTCATGGTAAAACCAGTTCTGGGACGTATTTACTACGGTCACCTCGCAGCTGACAATATGCTGACTAAGAGGAAAAACGCTAATATGCACTTAATACAGAAAGTCCAACAGATCTCCAAAATAGGAGTATGTGGCTCATTAATGTATTTAGGATGGCTGAAAAAAGAATTTTATATTGCATGCTAAGTTTTCAGTAAGAAAGTCTATAAAATGAACAAGACAGTTGCATTGAGACACTTGCATTGTATCAGTCTCTCCCTACAGTTTTAAATAGATGGGAATATAAAGGTTTTTCTTCTTCCCTGATAAAATTCTACTTTATTACAAGTTTTGTAATAAACAGTTTCTGTAATCGATTCTGTAGTAAGTCCAAACAACTTCTATTGACTACCCCACATTAGGACAATTCGTGTGTTTTAATCCATGAAAGCAGTCTCCCACTTTTTACAGCCTAGAACTCATTGTATGTAAAAAACAAAAACCAGGATGTTTCAGGCATTTTTCTAAACTTTTGCTAAAATATTTAAATCCTTGTTTTAGGAATGTTTAGCTTAACAGCTGAAAACAAAGAGAATTTACTACTGAAGGAAAATGTAAGCATATGGTTAGTAGAACTTTATTTTAATGAGACTGTTAACCTTGAAATTCATTCCAAATTTGCTGGCCAGTCTACTGTAGGGCCTCAACCATGCCTCAGAACTCAGATATTAAAATAGAGAAAATGATAGTCTAACTTGTAGATAGATTATCAACTTTCTAATTCGAAATGCTAGACATTTAAAGAATCATTCAATTTTGGGATGCAGAACAGATTCACAACATTTAAGCAGAGTCTTATCACAGCAGTGGTGTTTCCCATTGTCACTATACCTTGCATCAAGCTGTAACCGTGTCTTTACTAGCCAAATGGGATTAGTTGTTGTGATCGCAGTAAAACCTAAAATATTTAAAAAGAAAAGTTAGATGTGACAGTATCACAAGAGCAACTGCATCTAATTTTGAAATGCACACAGTAAGATACAGTGGATGCAAAAACTCGGACTATACTGATTTTTAGAAGCTACCCATTGTAGGCCTTTACTGTTATTTTATGAATCCATACAGCCAATAAACATTTAGCTGATTTTTTAATTTTACATTAATATTGAGTAAGCTTGATTCTTAGCAAGAGACGCCCCACATAAAATAAGCCCAATTGTGTACATTTCTCTGCCTACCTAATCATACCAACCCTATTTCGACACCACAGAACAGCAAAGCTAGCTAGACTAGTATTGGCCGATTTGGCAAAAATGTCAGTAAGAATGCCTTGCAGATACAGCTATAGCAATTTGAGATGGTATAAAACATTGTGTCAATTTAATTTGCTACCTGAAATACAATCCGAGTTTAAAAGCATGCAGATTGAATAAATACTACTTTTGGTGCAGTTAAAAGGCATTTATTACTGTAAGTTAAGAGACCTTTTAATACTGAACTATAAAGAGCAGTTAAATTGAGTGCTAATCTTTTATTTAGTATTCAAAGCAGAGACTGTTGGTTGGCCTAGGAATACTTTTACAAGCATATGAGTATTTAAATTGTTAAAATAAATAGTATGACTTCTAACTATCCAGACAGACAGCAACTATTCAGGCTTGCATAAGGGTTAAGGGATAAAGCTTTGATTTTCAGTCCACTAAAGAAAAAGAAAAGGAAGGAAAAAAGGAAACAAATTTAAAAAAAAAAAGAAAAGAAGTAAGAATCACTCTTACTTCTGCACAACCGTGGAGAGAAAAAGAGCAGAGTGAAAGGCAGCTCTGAAAAAAAAAAGTAAAACAAAAAACCATCTAGAGTTGCAATACCACACATGCACCGTTAATGAGGTGTCATGTCTGCAGGAGAGAAGAGGAAAAGGGAAGAGCTGGAACATGGCCAGGCAAGAGATGATAAATTTAGACACTAGCTTTCTAAGTGACACGCATCACTTGTATATCACTACAAAGACATGCTGCCCTCCTGCAAGGGAATGGACTGGAGTTGTGGGAAAGCAACAAAGAGTTACCTTGTTCAGTGCATATCTGGTGCACAATACTTATACAACGAACAGGCTATTGATAAGCTTGTTTATGGAGGTCATTAACAGCTTACATATATATGTTTAGTAGAACTGCTTGCATACATGTTATTTCTGCTCAGTCACAATCTAGGTTTACATTGCACACAAATGACTGCAATACTCAGAGAAATGCCAGGGGATCTTAACTGTTTTAAGGTTTGTTCTACCCCCACCCCCAAATCTTAAATAGGTCATTATGATTTTCAGTTACAGTTCTAAGGACAAACTACAAAGTTTAGCAGCTACTAAGATTTAGTTATATTTCTGTGCCAAAATAGCAAAACCACATTAGAGATCTCAGTTTAATCTTTTGATTAAATGGATTTTTAAACTGACTCAAACCTCTTAACTAAATAACTTCCTGTAATATATAATGAAGGTTTGGGGTTGGCTTTTGTGTTTTGTGGTTTTTTTTTTTTAATACACTACTCTTTCTTATGTCCCTTCATACAATGGAATGAAATCCTAACAAGACAGAAGTGGTTTATATCTGCATTTCATGCAGGTAAATAATTATGTAAAAACCTCAAAGCATCAGGGAACTACTCTGCCATAACCCATAACAAGGCACAGGATATTTTTAAAACATACCACATCTGCAAAAAAGGTTCCATAGTTCAACTAGCCAGAGCCCTTCTGACCTATCACTTAATGCCATAGAAACTCCACTGATTCCAACAGCACTTGCTGGGTTGAACTACACTGAAAGGAAATATTGTTCTTGCATTTTTTATTTCTTTATACTAGCACTATGAAAGCTTTAATTTTCTTCTACTTCAAATCAGAATCTTTCCATATCTATAGTGTAGTGAAGGGCACTAGGAATGCACAGGACTGCAACAAAGGCTTTGAAATAAGGTGGGGAAAAATTACTAACTCCCCCTATCAACACATTTTCCAGGAAGACTTCTCTCTAAAACACAAAATTAGTTCTTAAGTCTCTCCTAGTTCTTAATTAGGAGTGAACAAGACCAAAAAAATCTTTTGCATTCCTATTTAAGTTGCATGCTTTGGAATTTTGTTGCTGCTAGACTCTACGTTACAGCATTATCTGCTCCACCCTTTCTCCTTCCTATTCAACCCCCAAAAAAGGGTCTCTGTAGATTCTAAGTCTGGAACAGGAAACACATAGGTGAGATCAGAGGCAGTGTCTGAGTGACAGGAGTGACTGTATTCACCCACAGCAGCAGCCTGAGAGTTCTAGGCAGGCTGAGAAGTTGCCAGTGAAGGGTGGCTGGCACAGGACACAAGACTATTCTGTCCGAACTTGCACTCCCTGGGTTGCTCTAAACATTATTTAAGCACAACACCCCTAACAGTAGGATCAGACACTTAGCAGCAGAGCCAATTTTTTCCCCAAGGGCTGTCATAAGCCTAAATTGCATGACAGTTCAAACCAAAGCTTTCAAATCAAAGAGCCTTCAATAATTCAGGTTTCAAGATGAAATGACTACAGCTCAATTCTTACAGGTAATGTAGCAAATACAATTAGCCAAAGAAGAAATATAAATTAAGAGTTGAGTGATGCTGACACCAAGGAAAGCACTCCAAAACATGAAACATAACATTTGGGATCTTTGATAAGATAAGCTTTTCTTTTTAAATACAGAAAATCTGTAGCAAAAGTACTTGTTAAAAAATAAAGGTGGGGGGCTTTCAACAACTACTATGAAGCTCTATCGTTTCCTTTGTCTTTTTTTTTTTTTAGAAGTCTCAGTGAACTTTATAATGCTTTACAATGCTTATCAACGTGTTGTACCCTCAAGAAACATTCCAGATGCATTAGAAGCATAGATCAATTTGGCAATACCAGAAACTCCTGTCCTTTTCCATGTTTATGTTCTTCTATGAAATTGTATCCCAGTTTCAGACAGAAAGAATTATCTCAATCTGCTTTTTCAGCTATACCAGCTACTGACAGGTAAGATCCCAGGTATTCCTATTATGCATCATATTTCAAAGGTTAGGGGTTTTTTTTAATCTATAAGCCAATGTAATTGATACAGACACATGTGAATATGGAATGCTGAATTAAAAATCCAAAGTAGTAAAATGAAAACAAACCAAAAGAGAAAACAGAAAGAGACAGAAAGGAGATTATATACGTATTAAAAAAAGAAAAAGAAAAGAGGTCTTTGAAATAATGTGACACAGAATATCAGCTGCAGCGTTTTAACGGCAGCTCTGGGACACTGAAAAAAACCAAAAGGCCTTGTTTAACCCAGTAGGGACTTTCAATTAGCCAGAGCTAAGTAAAGTAGCAGCTATCAGTGAAAGGTTATTTTCCACCTTTCCCTGAACTGCACAGGAAAAAAATAACTCTTAACAGAGTTTAGGAGAAGTGATGTCTTTGCACAATGCACATCATGTGAGTTCAAGATAATGAAAGTGAATTCCCCTTATTTTGTTTATTTAATAGATATTACAAACCCAATGTGTGGTTCTTACACTAGAGGCTGCAAGAGACGCTCAGTTCAGTACTCACGAGGTTTAAGTTAGTCCATATTTCTGCAGGAAGTGACCTGCGGATGGGGAGCATGAGATGACACGATCTCACTCTTTTCACGGGAGAAATGTACAGTAAATGCCTAAAATAGACACAGGCTTTTCTGTATCATAACAACAAGCAGTGACCTCATCAGACACATGTGTACAAATTGAATCCCATTGGAAGGATTTGTGAATTAGTTATTGTGAGATCTAACTGTTTTCAGGTAAAAGTTTAGGAAAAAAGAAAGAAAAATAATCAGAACAGGCCACAGATATTAAAATAGTTGTGTAAAATGCACTGAGTACTGAAATTTCTGCTCATTTGCAGCAGTTCAATTTTATATCTCCAAATACTTACCTATATATCAAATTTACAAGTGAACTCCTCCTCCCTCCCCACTCCCTCCCAAATATCATTCAAAAAAAGCTAGCCTTATCTTAGGACTGAAAAAGCAAGATAGATGCCTTATGAAATCAAACTTTCTAATATCAGTAATCAATGAACTAAATATGCATTTTATTTGGTATTAAGTAACTGTGTACATACTACTAAGAAGTTAGAAAAGTATGGTATCTTTAAGTAATAAAGTGGTCCCAATTTTTTTTAAAAAAATCAAAAAATCCTACATTTGGGTTCATTTGCCAGTAGTTCTAGAAAGAACAGCAATAGCATACAAGGCAAAGTAGTTTTGCAGCAGATTTGCAACCATGTTGTCTGAATGAGGCTATGAATCATTAAAAAGGCAAACCAGGAAGCCATACAGGAATCAAGTATCTCATTCAGTTCTCTACAGTTTTTATTCTCTGTGGCAAAAGAGGTTGAGTAAGTGCAATAAGAAGGCATAGTTTATAGTGAATCTGAGAATTTAGCCTAACTTTGAAATGTACAGAGATGAACCATCTTCACACAAGCAAACATTCTTGTAGTATGCTTCAGATATATTCACTGTCCAAGTTTGCAAAAAAGAGAAGCATGTGATATGCCAAGTAGTAAGCAGAAAAGATTGCCGAGTACTTCTTCATGTCAATACACAGATATTTTAGGTATGAAGGTGATGTGAATTATATGCTGGAAGCTAGCACACAGCAAGAGAAAAACATTAATTTCTAATTGCATAAGGCATCAGTTACTAATATGTAGCATAATTCAACCTCCTCAGCATAAAACAAACTTACTAAAAGAATCTTAGTAAAACAAAATATATGTTTTATCTTGAGAAGGAAGAATCAGGCCTAAAACCAAACAAGAACGCTTAAAATACCATACCTCAGCTTCTCAGTCCCAAAAATGCTATGTGCATAAGATAATTCTTACTTAACAATGACATCAGTCTAGCCTGAGATACTTATGTATTAACATACGACACAAATAAACAGTAACTAAAGTTGACTGATGTTGACTACTTACAGTACTCTCATAAAACAGTAAGTTACAGATCTTTTTTAAATTTTATTTTTGCATCATTATTGTATTTGCAACCTACAGGAAAAGCTTGGTAAGTGCAAACACCACCCCATGCTCATTAGGTATTAGAAGCCTTTATGTAACAGAAAGGTCATATCCAACAAAAAAAACCCCCTCATTTTAGACTGAGTTACTCAATTCCTTACTGAAACCAATGGCAGCTGCAAAAGAAAAAACCAATACCAATTATTTTTTGCTAATTATTAGAAGCTTTTATCCACCTTGCCAATTTTGAAATCTTAAGTTCCAAAGCAAATATTGTGGTGATCTTCTGTATTAACCTGTTTAATTCAACCAATTAAGAGCTCACATTCGATCTTGTCCCTGTTATTTTGCCGTTTCCTTAAGTTGATCTGCATCATATAGCAATACAAACCTTGCAGGTAAAACTGTTAATAGCTGGTTTAAGTGCATTTTCTGAAATATATCAGAATTACAAAAACAAGGTTAGCATGTTCCCAAGAAAGCACTGTTAATTTTAACTACAGTCCTTTTCATATAAATGAGAATACTGCCACTACTGAGTATCAAGAAATTGTTTGTCAAAGAACCATCTTTTGAAGGTCTTCCAGAGGATGTCTGTAGTGTACAGCGCCAAGACATTTCAAGAGAGAAAGTAAGTTGCAACCTGTAGTGTGAACCTGCACTGGGCATTCAGTTTCATTGGCTATATGGTTTAGAAATACAACTGCAGAACTAGGTTAAGTGTGAGAGAAAGGTAACAGCCACAAAAGTTGTTCAATATGGAAAATCATATACAAATGTAAAAAAGGCAAACACCAATTAAGGCTCAAATACATTTACCCCAGTCTCCTGCAGTCGTAAGTGCAAATGCATAATACTAACTTTCTGGAAGGGAAGCAAATTAATAAGCAGATACAGAACTCCTTGACAAACTACAGTCTGTGTCTGCAGACACTTGGGAAAGTCACTACAGCACATCTGCGTAAATGTTCTTTTCATTACAGAATGACGGCAGTAACTTCCAAAGATAAGAACACTCGGAACCTTCGTTTGGCTGCAGCACTGCATGAGTTAACACAAGTTGTCTTCAATTGAAGATAGACTTGTTTTTATTACCCATACTCCCCCTCCGCCTCCAATTTAAAGACATATTTTTATCCCCTTGACAAAGAGCTGAAGACAATTTGTTTTTCTTGGAGCAATTAATCAATTAGGATGAACTTTTCATGAAATCCCCCTTCCATCCCATTCCCCATGCTGTTCACCTACAAACAAAACACACATTTCCAGGTGATAAAAAATACTGCATCATCTGAGCACCGTATCTTGCCCCTTTAAGACAAAAACAGCTCTCCTTACATCTCTGAGATTAAAAACTGCCATCACATTCCTCATATGCTAGAGATGAGAATTAGTGTGTTAAAGTACAAAGCTAATGTAATTTAAGTTTTCTATGCTATATAACAATTTCTCTGTATCATATTATTAGCAAGTATGAAATAGAAAACTAATCCTATTCATTATTCTGACATCACCTTTGGCAGCCCATTCCAGATTGCTATCACTCCCATTATATACACTGGTTCTAAAATTGACAGGAATTAGAAACTTCAACAGGCTACCATAAAATTGTCAGAATTCATCTGTGAAGTGTCTATGGCCTATACAGAAAAAAGCTTTTGAAAAAATGTGGTTTTGTGTAGGAAGGACACATTCAACAATAGGTAAAGTGTTGCCAGCCCAAATTTTGATTTCCCCAGCACAAGTCTGTGACCATAACTTAGCTCAGTTGCCTTTAACTCCCCTTGTTAATGATCCCACAGCACAGAGCATAAAAATCAAGCAACAAGTATTGGTAGCTGCTAAAATATACTAACGTTACACTGCAGATATAAAATAGGAATTTATTTCCAGAGATGAAGATATATGAAAACTATGAAAATCTGCTCTTCTATGTCACTTTAAGTGGTAGAGCAAACCTCTCACAGACTGGTATTTGAACAGAGGAGGAGGAAGCATTACATATAATTTATACAAGTATCTGCAGACATATTTCAGAAAGACAAAAATAAGTCAGATACACAAAGCTGTAACAGAAAGCAATGGTAAAAGACAGATTAAGAAGCATTAAACCAGAGTTCAGTGCAAACAATGTTGTTTATAGCTTGCAGAGCAAAAAGTTACTGTTTTGAAAATTTTCATTTTACATTTCACAAATTTACAATTGACAAACTAGGCATGCAAGTTTTCCTGGAAAAGACTATTCACACACGTAGTTAAAGATCTTCATTAAGTGAAAAGTTTCATGCACATATTCTCCAGATAGCTTGTTTAATGAAAGGCCAAAAACGGTAACCACTACATAAAGAGATCATTCAATCACTGAACATTTTCTGTTTTGCTTTTTCCACATTTATTGCCACCTCTCATTTGTAGATATGATTCTAGAATGAAGTTAAAAAGTTACAGATCCTTACCTGCCACACCAGCTGAAACCACATGTACCTGGGTAGAATCTGGATTGAAAATATTGTTCAACTTTTCCTTGCAGTTTGAGTAAGCAGCAAAATATATTGCCCTAAAATTAGAACAAAATCCAAGTTACGTGAAGTTTTACGTGTTGATACCCTTACAAGCAGTGCCATTAACTTCACTAACTCAAGATGATCTTGGTTCAAGTCACTTCCTCAGTAAAAAAACTACTCAAGAAATAACTCTTGCAAAGTAGTGGGACTATCCTAGGAATGGAAAAGAAAAAAGATCATACTTTACAACTACTTCTTCCACAACAGCTTCAAGTAACAATTACTGCGGGGAAGGATAGATAATTAGAAATAGGCAGTGATTTTTGTGACACCAGGAAGTTTACCCAGGGAACCAAAACACTGCTGAACTGAGAACTGAAGTTACAGTATTCTGTATTTCTTTAATAACAGATCAAGTTTGTTCTAACAGACCTAAACTCATTTCAATTGCATTACAATTCCAAAAGAACTAGCAAGTACATAGTTTGGTTTTTTTTTTAAACCAAACAGCACACTTAGTATTTATAATATTATTCTAGCATTTAGAATGTAAATATTGATAATGTGGTTATACTTTGTAACTTGTAGTTATAAGTATTTATATTTTAAATGCTAAAACAGCTGTGAAGCTGGGATCCACATTTTGGTTTAGTTCTGTATTTAGAATAGACACAGATCTTTTTCTCTGAATAGACTAAAAAAAATTTGTAAACTTGCACTACATCCAAGTCTGTGAACTGGTATCAAAATAAAGCTAGACATAAAAGTCGGCATGCCAATGAAATGTATTATGGAAAATGCTTGTTTTCACTCATTAAAGCTAAAACCCCTTATTTTAAGCACATCTAAAACTTATGTTTAAGGTTGTAACTCTTTTTTTAAACTTAGGCACCCCTCTACAAGAGAAAAAGTGAACATGCAAGTTTTCATGAACAGAACATTAACCTCATTAGATGTGCAAACATGTTTTTCTTTATTATAAAAAAGATAAAGTGCTTGCTTCATGGGTGTAATTTCTAAAATGGAATAGGAACTCAGTTAAGTATACTGGATGTGTTATGAAACATGCTTCTCTATAGCTTATTTAAACAAAGAGCTGCTGTTAAATCCACTTAGCTAATGCTTAATTGAAATGAAGTATTGGATGAAGACCGAGTCAGCCAGAGGGGAATGAGGATGCGCTTATTTGTAAGACTTCACAAATTATATCAAATTGACATTTCGGGGGGGTGGAAAAAGTTAAGTATTTCACCTACGGGAAGAAGGGAATTAGAAGATTAAACATAAAATTTACTGAAAAGAAATAGGGGTTTTTTGCAATTAAGGATATTTTTTGTTGAGGATAGTCACTTACAAAATGGAATCCACTGCTGTATAAAAATTGCTGCTAAAAAAGTAATATCAATGTTGATCATTCAGGCCAGACTGGACTATGAAACAAAAGTACAGGCTCTTCAGATTAGGAAGTGCTGACACCCCGCAGGTGTCAAGAACAAAGAAAGCTAGTGGAATCACTTCAGCTTCTCCAAACAGCAATGCTAAGTTAGTGATCAGAAAATACCTCAGGTATTGCTAATTCTTTAAAAAAAATCTGCTAAAATAAAAGTACTCCAGTTCCTGAATTATGTTTTTCTCTTATTCATCCAGAAGATCTACAGAACTATACCTCATCTGTCAGATCTAAGTACAAGAGAGATCCATGCTGAATGGAAAGTCCAGTTTCATAAAATTTTCCAGAAGCATCCAAAGACCTTAAACCAGAAAAATTACGATACTCCCTAACTGAGTGTGCAGGAGACAGGAATGTCTTCTCTTCAGACCAAAAATAATAAATGAAAGCAGGGCACTAAGTCAAGGGAAGAATAAAACCTTTGTGGAATATATTCCCTCTGCATAAAGACTCTTCTCTTAAACAGAATAGAAGGGAATAAAAATGATCCAGAAAACAACTATAGACTCATCCAGGATTAAGAAGTTATTAGTTTTACACAGCTTTATTTCCATACTCTTCCTTAGGTATTTTCCCTATTGTTGGGCTGAACTTAGGCCAACACTTATATGTAAGGATCAATTCAAACTCTGGCATAATCTGCACCTTGCTCTGACTGCCAGCACCTGTCGAGTAGCTGGAGTATTTGTGCTGATGCAGAGCAATGGACAGCAATACCACTGCCAATTACATCAGATTTACATCCTTGTCTGCTGCACTCTCTGACACTGCCCCAGTACCCTTTGGAGTCCAGCCCACTGCTGGATCTGTTTTCTCTGGGACAGCTGTTAAGGATGTCATCCTACCCAGTCTTGCCCTTTTTGAAGTTTCCGAACTTGCTTCCTTCTGCAGGGGAACAGCAGCCTGTGCTTCACCAGAATTCAGGAAGAAAGACCCAGTGTTTGGAGACTACAGTCACACAATTGCTTCCTGAAGATGATGGATTAACTGAAAGCTAAATCTACCTTTGTATTTTCAAAGGTACAAACTTCTTGTTTACATGTGCAACTCCTTAAGCATTTTCCTTCTTAACTGGACGAAACTCTGCATAAGGGATAGCACACAATAGTAAACACTATTATAGTAGCATACAGGATAGTAAGTGCGGAGACAGTTGGTGCAGGGACATGGGACTGGAGCTGCGGAGTACATGCGTGGCTCAATTTCTCAGAAAACAAAATTAGTCCAGGAACCAAAGGTTATTTGCCATTAAGTATTTACAACCGCAGATGCAAAACTTGCTTCAAATAAACCTTAAATCCCTTAAATAATGTACAGCAACCTAAATTTCAAAGTTACTTCATTTACTGTACACGTTTATATTTACCTGGAAGGAGCAACACCTACTAAATTAGGACCCAGCCCTCTAAACAGAGAACGAGGACCTTCCTTTTGCAAGATCATCCTAGAAAACAAAAAAGTGACAATACTGTAACATCCACATCAAAATTAAGGAATGCACTGACCACCATAACTACATCATTTTAAGCTTTACTGCATGTAAAACTTTCATAATAACTGACAATGCAGTGTTGACCACCAAAAAAATCAGTAATTTCCTCCAATCAGCATAAAATAAAATTCCATTATTGCTTGACATGCCATAGAAATCCAGGAACTAAATGCAGAGATAAAGCCTTATGACATCAACACATACTTACCTCAAAGATAGGAACACATACATACATCATCTTCTTCCTCTCTCATTAGGAAGCTAAAAAAACCTGTCCTTTTATCAGGCAGAAAATACAAAGCATGCAAATGTTCACATTTCTCTAGGTTGTAGATTGTTCAGGAGACAAAAATATTTTATTCTATTCTACATTCCTTTCATCACCCTTTAGCTCCCAGTGTTTGGGAGGAACAGGACATAAAGGGCAAGAGAGGAGGAGAGGAGAGACACTTAGGAAGTTTCAGTTACAGCAAATCATATGCCTTCTGAGAGCATCAGGAAGATGTTAGCTCTACTGCTTACCATGCCCAGCCAGGAACATCTGCAATCTATTATCTGTTCTTCTCAGAAGGACAGAAACCTCAACATGGCTTTGCATGCGCTACCCTGGTTTGATTCTACAAGATTCCTAACAGTACATGCCACAAGTTAGACGAAAGCAGCCTTTCAGAGACAAAGTCCTGCCTTCCCCATCCCTATAAAATGATTTAAATCCACTAAGCATTCAACTAGGAACCCATTCTTAGCTTTATTCTTTCCATAAGATAGAGTTATTATTTTGACTACAGTAAAAGGAAACAGAAACATCTGATGTGAGAAGCGGCCCTTCCTTGAGGCTGGCAGGGATTCCCTCCTATCAGTTCCGAACTGCAGCCTGTGTGCTCCTACCCACAAGCACTGCTACTGGGCCATGGAGCCAGTGGTTTTTCCTTTTCCACTCATTCTTGAAAAGACAATCCTTACCTCCTCATGCAAAGTAACTCACTTAAGTTTGAGATTAACTGAAAAAAGGAGTGTAACCCATGCAAAGAGTCACAGCCACAGTACAGCCCTAACATCTCATGGTATCAGGTCCACCATAAACACAGCTCTGGAAAGACTGCTTGGGTGGCAAGGGGGTGTCACCTTCCATCTTTGTGGGATTTACAGAGAAGCATAGGAATGCGAGCAGTGAACCGAGACCTCAAATGAGGCACTACTAGTACTTAAGTGTTTGGAATACCCATCCCATGTAACTGTGGTTTTTAGAAAGAGTTGAAAACCATTATGCAGCAAGGTACACTGGCACAGTAAGAGGATATCCATTAATATTCACTTTTGGTGAAATCAATCTGTCCAACAATCTAGATGCTAATCAGATATGGCATCCTAAAAAGTGTGGTAGGACACGGGAGGACAAACAAGGACTATCTGCATCCTATCACTGCAAATTGCTCTAGAAATTGCTTTAGAACCAGATTTGAAGTTAATCCTTAACTACTTCACTAGATGTTACAAAACAGAACTCTGTACTTACTGATTTAGAAACACTGGCCAATGCACACAAATAGTTCTCCTGTATATTTCTTCTTCAAAGAGACATGCAGGTTAATGACAAGTCAGTTACTCAATAAAGCAAACTACTCTTTTATAAATGGCTATTTTGTTTGGAATTTACTATCAGAACAAACAGGTGAAAGCCATCTATAGCACTGAAGAAGATTCCAAACCTATTCTGATTTCCAGCAGCTGATTCACCACAGTTCTGCTGCTAAATCAAACTGAAAATTTACATTTGTTTTCAGTAAGCAAAAATAGAATGGTGGTTCTGCACAGTTACCATCACTATTTAGGAATGCTGGCATATAATGTGTCCAGCAACATCTCAACTTCGTGCCCCTAACAATTAGGTACGATTTCACTATGTGCATAGCATTGCTCCGCAGCAATAATTGGACTATTGAACACATACTCAAAAGCACTTTGGAAATACAAATTACTTAGACATGTCTGTCATCCTGAAAGCATTTCTAACACTTACAGAAGGAATTATTCAAAAAACCCTACCATATTCCAGAGCTCAGCATGGGCACAGCATCAGATTACAGCAAAGCTGAACCCAATTAACATGATCTGTGTCCACTTAAAACACTACTTAAAAATTACTCCCACCACAACATCATGTGTTACACATGTATTTATGCACATATAACATATACACACATACAAAGCAGCAGGAACCTCAGCGTCTTAAGAGAAACTTAGGACTGAAGCGTCCACCAGTTTCTTCTGGATCTACAGTGTCCCAAGACTTGACAAAGCAACAGAGTTAAAGAGAGGTTGCAGCAGGATTTATAATGGTGGCAGTTACTGATGCTCTTCTGCATTCACAGACACCAACTGGAAGAGTTCCAGAGCCTATGCTGAAAATAAGACACAAACTTCTTGCATTAAAAAGCAGATCCCAGAGCCTGCACTGTTTATTGAAAGCAGTAAATTGCAAATCCATGGTTGGAAGAGGAGCACAAATGCTCCCTATGGCCTCAGCTGACCTGCTTATATCACATGGGGAAGCCTGCATTGGGAAGCTGGTCAGATTTCCATTATCAAGATCTCAGGTTTAAACTCAGCAAGGTTAGTTATGAGAGGCATCTGCAATATGATAAACACCACAGATATTTAAGAGTAAGGGAATTCGCTTATGTTGCCAGAGAATGCAGTCACCTGTACCACTCTTTCTGAGTTTGTTTCCTGACAGAAATGCCTTTGAAGTCACCTCTGTTGATGCTTAAGATGCAAATTGATTCCACAGCAGCGAGTTAACTGAAATTCTGACATCATTTGCCTGATTCACCCTTCTTTTAGACTGAGTATTGTGAACCGTGGAGCACTGCACTGAATTTGGTATGAGACAACCAAACCATGACACCTACAAGTCAGAAAATATCAAGTGACAGTAAGGCATGAGAGTGACAGAGGGATCCAGTTTGATTTCCTCACTCAACAGCCCTAGTCCTTTATCCAAGACTAATTATGTCCTGCACCTATGTATTTTTATTGTCACAGTCCATTGCCATGTCATTTGCGATTTTTTCATATTTAAAGAACTTGAAACCCAGAAAAGTTACTTGGCATCTGGAAGAAAACACATCTAAGCAAAGAACAAAAGCAGCAGAAGATACACATTCTTGTATGACAGATAAACAAACATGTCTAAGAAGCAGATTTAAAAAAACAAACAAAACAAACAAGCCCTACCAATGAAGTTCATCATGGACTACCTCTACCTCAGTCTGAATTTGCTTCCTGGGAAAACCAAGTTATTTTAGGTTTTAGGGATGGGTTTAAAGCATAGCAGGCTTCTAGCAGACAGGCATATGAAACAAACATCTGTTCATCCTGCTATTCATTCAGAGTATCTTCTGTTTAGAAATGTCATACATAACCAAACATTCAGGGAAGAAACTGAAGGGCTCAACTTCCATCAAAAGAAGCCAATAAGCCAAGTGCTTTGGATGGAGCTCTCCTTCCTTGTCACAATCTGAGCCCTTCCTTCCCACATGTTCACCCATCAGACTTATACATAAAAAGGCTCCAAATCAAAACTTTCACAATAAGAACTATTTTCCATTCAAGGAGCTAACTTGGGTACAACCTCTATTTAAGCAAATCCTATCCTCTAACTAGATTAAGCTTAAATCCTACACTGCAACTGCCAGAAGGGGCTCTCTACAAACTACTTCTCACTGATTAATTGGGAATAGAAGATAGCTGGTCCAAGTCTTATCAAATTATTTCTAATGCAAGAAGCAGTAGCAGGTCCTTTCTCGAGGAAAACTCGCCTCATTCCCAAATACTGAAGGTACCTCCCCATAACTGGCTAGCTTGAATCCCTAGAGTGAAGTGAACCCTGCCTGTGGTCTGTACTAGCAGTTTAACTGTGGCCATACAACTTTCCCGCTGGCTACTGAACATCACTGGTGGCAAGGAGAGGAAAGGCAGTCCCCATCCAGCGACATGCTATGCAAACAAAATGTCCCAGGTCATGGCAAAATCTGGGCTTACCTATCTCTCACTAGCTCAAAAAAAGTGTTACTAGCCACACATCTATCAGAAGATACTGAAAAGCAGGAAGAGTATGGAGTGGTGAAAGTTGAGAGACTAAGAAGCTGAGTTAATTTTCATAGGGCTTCTTGCCTCCATATTCAGCAACATCTATGATTTGGACAGAAACAGTTTTAAAATTCTTATACTAACACTTTTCAGGATGAAAATACAATCTGGCACTTAAGCGTTACAGTGCTCCCAGTGAGTTTTGGGGACGTAGTTTGGAGCTGTGAATTGTACAGGGTACATATGCTCTGGCTAATTCAAGATACAAACTCAAGGATGAAGGACATTTGGAGAAGTGGAACGTGAAACTTACAGTTAAAGGGCAAAATATGGAAAGTATCTCATGGTAGCATCATGACAGACATAACAATCTGAATCTTTCATATGGATTTGTCCAACACACCTCTCTCCTCCTCCCTCCCCAAAGTGAACCAAAAACCTAGTAACATGTAAACTCACTTCAAACAATGGAGAGGTCCAGGAGAAACTCTAGTTACTCTATTGACACTAGCACCATTCACAGTGCTGAGATGGACTTCAGAGATATAGAGAGTCACAGAGGACGACTGCAATCGTGTTTTCACAACTTCCAGTGGACATGTCAGAATTGCACCAACAGTACCTCCACATCTGCAAAAAGAAATAGGATCATCACATTTTTAACTGCAAAGAAACTGAAGAATACATTCACATATAATTAACATTATACTCAACACAGTCGAATTGCAGAAGGTGAAGAAACAACTGGAACATGTGTGACAATGCTGCAGTTATTTGCCCTTGAAGGCAAGCAAACTGTTAAGTCAGTTTGTTAACCCCACAACTTGGGAGTGGAAATTTAGACAGACAGAAATAAAGTTTCCCAAAGTAGTGAAGGTGCACAGTCTTCAGTACGTGCTGTTCAAATCAGTTCTGGAAAGTAGTTCAGTATCTGAAATGTTTAACTTCTTATGGTAAATTTTAACTTTTTTTGAATGTTTAATGTGCTCCTGACCATAAACAAGGTGCCAAAAATCCTTAAGGGTAGAAAAGATTTGTGCACTATGCACACAGGGCTACATGTAAAAACTGGTAAAAAATGTGGTGTGGCAACTTAAAATTAAAATGCTTATGAAGACATCTTCAAAACTCCGTTTGTATTTTGGGCATTGTACTATGAAAGCAATGATTCTCTGAGTGTTTCCCGAGTTCTGCCCATTACAGCAAGACAGACTAGATACTGTAGAGTAGAACCTGGGAAGACAGAAGAGCTTTAAGTGGCCAACCAGGTGAAGACTTGCAGATTTTGCTTCAGTCTGCCACTTGTTTCTGTGAGCAAGCCAAGGCAAGCTGCACATGACTTGTGCTCACAGTAGTTAGGCCCATTTTGCTAGAGCAGAACACAGTCAAGAACATAGTGCCTTCTAGCAGCTCGGCTCAGAGGATTCTTCTAGTGCTTGTTCATAACCAATTTATTAATACGTACATTCCTATCTGTTTAACTACAACCACATACAGCCTCTGAGGGAAAAATATCAAATCCACAAATTTTGATTCCAAAGACAACCCCAAATTCTTTGACATTACCATTACAAAAAAAGTGCTTCCCTTGAACCTTTTCCGAGATCAGTATTCCTAACTTTGTCAAATACCTTTCTTAAAACTATGACCAGGACACTATATGCACCCTTTTAAAACAAACAAACAAAACCCTAAAACACACCACACAAAAAACCTGCACCAAACACAAAAAACCAAACCCCACAACACACAAAAAAAACCCACAAAAAAACACCAAACCCAGATTTAAGTTAGGGTATTAATTAATGCTGCTAACACCTCAGTCTGAAACCCACTAACACACAAATACAATTCGTACTAAATTCAGAGAGCCCAGCATTCACTTCTCTGATGCAATAGCTAGAGCTGGTGTTTGATTTTGACAAGACAGTTATCAGCTATTGTTGTAACATGAGAGGCTCAAACACCCCCAAAACCTTTAAAAACCTGTAAGACTTGTTCAATAGTATCTTTTAAATAACATCTTCCAAAATGCAAAGGAGAGTTCAGCACAAGTTAGGAGTAATAGATAAGACTCAAGATCTATAAACTTTCATAGGAAGGTAGCTTTTAGTCTGTTGACTCTCTTCTACTGCCAAGAATACCAGAAATAATGGTAGTTGTTAACACAGCACTGCATCCTAAAAAACTAATCTGTTTGTATGAATTGAACTGTCAATACCAAACAGCTGCAAAGTAGGATAATGTTTGGTGATGTTCACTTAATGCTCTATTTAAACCTAGTGACCTAGAGGTATCCTATTACTAAGCCTAAAGGCATCTTGTCCCACCCATAACTCCAACATTAGACTGAAGTCTACTCTATTCCAAATTTTAATTGAGGAAAGAAGTCAAGTTTCTTTGTCAGTCTGGGAAAAAAGTGTTCTCACAGGAAGATGGAAGACACTCTTCCAGTGTATGCTGTACACATGCAGTAACAGACTGACACAGCTTTTAGAGCAGCATGTTTAAAACACCTCTGAATGAGCAATTTGCTTACTCTTCTAATGGTAAGCTACAAATAGACTTTTTAAAATAAGAGTTGCAGGAAGAGACAGACTAGATGTGCCAAAATTTATTTTAGCCAGTGTTGGAAGCAGTAGGAGCTGTAACATCTTAAGGTTCATGATGTGTACCACAGGTAGGCCAGCCCTCAAAACAACTTGACACAGAGCTTTAGAGCTTCCGCATCTTCAAGAGAGACAGCAAGTTACTGTTTCCTGCAGTTCAACAGCAGAGACTGCTGTATGGTAATGTGCAGGCAATGTAGGAAGTTGGCTTTAGCGTTTATTTCCTTTCTTGCAACCCCTCTGCTTCTGATCCCCTTGAGCCCTTAAGATCTTTCTCCATTTGATTTTGGACAGGTTACCCGAGGACTTATTTTCAAGCAACAGCAAGAGAAAGCACGTGGTACTGTTTATATTAGTGAGATAAATACTATGGGAGGAGGAAGAAAGGAGGAAGAAAAAACTTGGCCTGCATTCTTCCATAGGGCTTGGAATTTGGAGCCTTTAATGCTACTGGCTCCACAGCTACGTTGCACTGGAAAATTTTTCCAAAGTTGAAGATTAACGCTGACCTGGAGCTTGTATCCTGCATGCTGCCCCGCACCACACCCAAATCACCACAAGGGATGCCTGGCTGCAACAGCACTTCTGCCAGACATTCACTGTGGATGGCTTAGAAATACTTCATTCAGCAGTGGATTACTAGATTACTAGGGAAAAGGGCAGACATACAGCTACTCAAGGCTTGTTCTTTTTAAGTCTGCCTACAGCAAGTGTTGTTCAGCGATAACCAGCTGACATAACAGCAGCCAGCTCTATTTTTACATGCATCGTAAGGCAGCAGCAGATCACCTGTCTCCCTTTAAGAACTGTGCACCCTTTACCTGCACCACATTCTGCCATTCAAATAATTCAAATAATCAGCACTCTTGGCAGTTTCTTACTGTTGCATTGCTCGGTGGTTTGTTTGTTTTAACAGTTTAAGATGTCTCAACTGAACCTGAGAATATTTGAATGTTTTCCACTAACTATTGACAGTTTGGGTTAAAATTCTCCTCTGTCCCCTATTTTTAAGATCTCAAATTGCTACTTACAAATGAAGAAAGCAGAGAAGTTTTGTAGTGCTATGTGGTTCTGTACTGCCCACAAACAAGTCTTTGCAAAATCCCCAATTCCTACTTCTGTCAAAATGTCTACCTCACTCTCCCAGCCCTCAAAAAGCCCCATAATAGAGAAAGCATCTGGAAATGAAGGAGTGAAAGAAAAAGTCCCCAAAAATTGAGGAACCAGACCTTGCTCAGTAGTCACAAGATCCACTGAGTTTGAACTGAGCCACTAAACGATAGCATAGTCCAGGAACTACACTGATTTGCCTAGTTCACTTGAACTTTAAGATAAACACTGCAAGACTTGACAAAAATTGGTTTATGAGAAACTGTCAGTAAACATAGCTTGTAGGTAAACAAAGAGAGACAATTCAGTAACTATGCACCCTGGTACAAATAAGCAACTTCTAAGAAGCATGCCAGCTGTTCTGTCACCAGCATCAATGGCAGTGTATTTTACTTCAAAATATATTTCCGGCCTTGCTTATTTAACACACTAGTAGAAATACTGTGAAAGAGACAGCTACTTCTTTGTGCTCCAAGTCCTGGCAGGCCATTAACAGCCAGCCACTAGCTCCAGCTTAGCAAAAGTGTTCTATAAATTGCCTGTAGACTGCC